GACATCCCAAATGTTTTAAAATGAATAAAAATATTTTTCTTCGGAAATGCTTTGATAACGTATTTATCATTGTTTTACTGGGAACAAATTCCGCAACATTTTTATTAAAAGAGGTACTCTGATTTTTATAAAGCATAAACAAAATCGGTCTTTTCTGGCCGTGAAAATGGGGATGTCACAGTTGGTATCAGAGCATTAGTTTAAGCGAACTAGGAATATGGATTTATTTCTAGACTTAAACTTAGAATGCTAAAAAATGATTGTGAGGAGTGTCTGAGGTAATACACCTGAATAGACACAAGCACTAGCTTTTTTAGGGAAAATGCCTAACATGCTTTTATGTGCTAAATGATTTATGATGCTAAATGTATGATCGGATCTATGGTCTGTTGCCGACCGGATCTGGAAACTTTACGTGTTCAGACTTCTAAACGATTAATTACGGTATTAGAACTGGCATGTAACTTTTCGGAGTTATAGGGAGATTTACACGTCGATCGTAAATAAAATCTTTCCTATCTTAATTCTCGTCATTACACACCGAACGTCTGAATTGGTGTATAGATCGAAATGGCAAGAACCCGAAGTGGAGTCGGGAACGCAAATGGAAATAGGAATCAATAGCCCCGAGTGATTGAACAAATACCTGTTGTAGTAGAAGCTGCACCTGAACCAATCACCGTGGTTGGAGTACAAGCCATGATTCGGGCTATGTTAGCTGAACAAAGGGAAGAAATGAGGAGGATGTTGCATGAAAATAGGGACGAACCTACCATGCCCATTGAGCAACCTGAGCTAATTCCCGAGCAATCTGAATGTTTTGTGGCTCTTTGAGCCTAAAGTTCCAAGCTTTATCAAGCCTTGGCCCTCCTTCATGCCCTAAGTCCCTTAAATAAAGCCTTATTTTAGCAATTTAGCCCTTGATGCCATGCATGGACGTAAAGCTTGCAACTTTACGTGGTATCTCAACCCTAGGGGACCAGATCCACAATTTGGAGGCAATAGACTTGCTTGGAAAGCGAATGAATGAATTAAGACTAGGAAAACTCGACGAGTTGCTTAGCCAACTCGACGAGTCGTTCTGCAAACTCTGCGAGTTGGCTAGGGTTTTTCCCGGGTTTCTGAGTTTTGATGGAACTCGGCGAGTTAGGAAGATGCACTCGACGAGTTGGGTCAACATGGACTGTTGACCTTAACTGTTGATTGTTGACTTTGACCATGGTTGACCAAGTTTGACCTTGAGGGTATTTCAGGATTTTGATGAGGTTAGTCACTTGGTGATTGTAGGCAGTTGAGTTGGAGTTGTGTGTTGGGATTGATATTACCGGTTCAGCACTACTTGTAAGGTGAGTTTCCTCACTATACTTAGGGGTCGAAGGCACCAAGGCTGGCCCATTGGATTGATATCCTAGTAGTTATTGATATGTTGAGTATGAGTTAGATATGCATGCTAGTTTGATATGCTAGTCTGGTAGATCTGTAGGACTACTTGTGATACTGTATGATTATCTATATGTGTATTTATCTGTTACATGTCGACATGTTGTGTGGGTTGGGTTAAGGTTGTACTCCTCCGTGCGGTAGCCAACAAACCCTGGAGCATACCAGATATGAGCTGAGGGCCAGAGAGGGGATGCCAGACTCATACTGAGGACTCCTAAGCATTCCATATACGAGCTGAGGGCCGGACCGAGCATGCCAGACTCGTATTGAGGGCTATTCATTGTATTCCAGTCCGAGGACTGAGGGAGCAAGCTAGACATAAGTTGTGGGCCGAGAGCAAACCCGACTTATGTTGTGGGCTCGAGAGCAAGCCAGATATGGGCTGAGGGCCAATGAGGGCATGCCAGACTCATACCGTGGGCTCATGGGTAATCCAATCTATAGAGTTGTGGACCCATTACATGTTGTTATTGTTATTATGTGTACTATATGTTATGCATCAGTATTTTGGGGGAACTCACTAAGCTTCTGGCTTACAGTTGTGGATTTCGTTTCAGGTACCTCAGATGATCACGGGAAGGTAAAGGCTTGATCATGCACCTCCTCATTTTTCTGATATCAAACTATTTTGAAAACAATTTGTAATAAATGGTGGTTTTTGGATGTTTGGAAAAGTTTAAATTTTACATGAATTTTATGGATGTTACAGAATGTTTTTAATTTTTATTTGGATGTTTAAGACTTAAGTTTCTAAAATTAGGATATGTTTGCAGCAAGAATTTATTCATGTTTAATTATCAATTTTATTTATGGAATCTGACCCACGAACACAGAAACCCAAATCTGACCCACGAACCCAAATACGACCCACCAACCCGCCAACCTGTGAACCCGTATAAATAAGTGGGTTGACGGGTCATATATGGGTTTATGTTCCAAACCCGCCAACCTATGACCCGCCGACCCGTGACCTGTATAGTTAAATGGGTCGTTTTTGGGTTGGTATATTTTGACCCGTCAACCCGAACACGACACGATTGCCAGGTCAGGAACACTACACTGTGGGTGCGGTTTAGGTGAAGGGTTTCCGTGCGTATGGTAGCATCTTCACATTCTCTATTCTTTTCTGATTGGTCAAGGCTAAAAAATGTTTTTTTTTATTTTTTTTTTGTTTTCCAGTTATAATATTAAATCATTTATATACTAATTTTCTTAAAAATATATATTAAAATTTATGATTTTTAATTCTCTACAAAAATAAGTATGATATTTGTATAAAATATATTTGAAAGTAAAAATAAAAATTAAGATGAATTGAAAGATGATCATTTTTAGGTTTTGAAGAGTGAAAGAATAGTAAAAAAAAAAAAGACAGGTTGAGATGATACATGAATAGTAAAAAGTGAAATATGAGTACATCATTGGTCTAATATTCTCACGAAAGTTAAGTTAAACAAAATACAAGATTACTACTTTGTTCTTTGTTAAAAGTTTGATCTTTCAAATTTTACGATAAAAAAAAAGTATAATTGAAACTTAATGTTAATTTAAATGATTTAAAATTTTGTTTTTTATTATGATTTTGTGACTTGGATTATATTATTCTGATTTATGCTACATTCTTTGGCTGCTAAGTTCGTTTTTTTTTCCAAAAGCGCCAACTCTACAAACTAATATGGCAAAAATTTGAGGTGTCACATTTGATAAATGTTAGGGACCAAAAGTTGCAAACTCTTGAAACTTTTGTGGCTAACGGTAGAAAATATCGAAACCGAGAGACCAAAAGTGTCTGGAGTCAAAAAGTTAAAGAATAACCAAAAGGGAAATTGTCAGAAAAGTCTCAATATTTTCAGGAAAGTTAAACTTTAGTCCCAATATTTTTTTTTTTGAACATAAAAGTCCCGATTATTTGTAAAAACACGATAATATGTCATTTAATGTTAAAAGAAAAAAATGACTTTTTTGTAAAGTTGAGCCAAAATGAAATAATCGGGACTTTTATGTTCAAAAAAAAATCTTGGGACTAAAGTGTAACTTTTCTGAAAATATTGAGATTTTTCTGACAATTTCCCTAACCAAAAATGGCAAGTCTTGAAACTTTTGTGGCAAAATTTTAAACAATAGAGAATGTATTATTTCTAATGTCATTGAGAATTAATGCTATATAATAATAATAATATAAATAATAATAATAATAATAATAATTCATAAAAATCATTATAGTGTTTTAATAAAATCCAAAAAATCAAAAAACAATTAACCTTTTGTAGAAGTGATTCACAACAATTTTTTCTTTTTCCTTAATATAAAACCATTCATATTTTATGGTTTGAATTTTGAAACAAACAACAACCTATCGGGATATATGATATCCTGGCGGGATTTTATGAGAAGACAACAAAATTATTGGATCCGATACTGGCGCTCAGGTTGAGAGTTGTTGAGAAAAAAATATGCGATTTGCATTCTTCTTTTTCTTTTCTGCTTTCTGATCCCAATTCCCACGATTTCTTTTTCCCCCTCTGATTGATTTTGCCCTTGAGTTAGTTGTTGAGACCTTGTCGCCTTGAGCCCTTGACTCTTGCACCGATTGAGAATTGAGACCGGATCGATTTTCCCTCTGATTTCTGATCCAGCGAAATATCCCTCAGTCAATTCTTATTTCTGATTCTAAAATACCCCTCTGATTTATATATCTTTCTGAAATCAGTTCGAGAATCTGAGAAGTCAAAGACGCAAAGCACGCAATTGATTTATGAATCTGTGTATGTTTAAAGCTTATTGATTGTTAAATTCAATTTTTTTAATCTGATGCAAATGTCGATTTTTTATACCCTGTAATACGAAATTCGATATTTTAGACAATTAGACTGTTAAATTCGACTTTTTGTTCTGAATCAGATGCAAATTTCCAAAAAAAATCATATACTTCGCTACAAATTTTGATTTCTTTAGCTGTTAAATTCAGTTTTGTTTTTTATTATGATTTTGTGACTTGGATTATATTTTTCTGATTTCTGCTACTGTTAAGTTCGTTTTAAAAAAAATAATAATAATAATAATAAAAATCAGATGCTGTAACTTCCATTATTCTTATTTCTGTTTGCATTTGGATTTCTTATTGTAACCCTCTCATTATGAATTTCATATTTCTGCTGTGTATCTGGATTTTTACTGTATTTCAAATTCTTATACAGCAGCTACCAGCATTATAGAACAGGAAGTACTTGCGAATGGCGCCAATTTTTATTACGTGAATGGTTCCCGCCACCGGCCACCGGCTCACGCCACCCTGATGTTCTTTCAATTTCACTTTGCAAACGTTGATATGCAGCATATTCATGCCTGTGAATTTCACGAAAAGGAAAAAACAGAGTGAATCAATTCAGAGAATATATCGCTACCTTTCCATTCTCCCTTTTCCTTGGCTTTAGAAAATCTGAAAGGTACTATCTTCTCCCTTTTTGAAATGATCTGATATACGGATATCTGAAACAGCTCATGATTAAGGTCAAAATTAGGAAAACGAGGACGATTTTGGAGGACAGCTAGTTATAATGGGGGTTGAATTGGACAAAAAGCACGCTATCATTGCAATCAGAGCTTGTTATAGATCAGCTTCGAAGCATCCCGTGGTGGTTGTTTTGATTCTTTTTACGATTTGGTTTTATCGATCATTCTCTCTGCTGTTTTCTCTTTTGGTTTATGCTTCTCCTATTCTCGTATCCACTGCTGTTCTGCTTGGAACTTTGTTACTTTTTGGTCATCAAAATGCATCCAAAATCCGAAAAGAAGGAAAACAACAATATCATCATCATCAGATCCACAATCTGCGAGTTAGGGCTATCGAAGATACTGATATTGGTGGGAAAGGTGTAAGAAGTGAAACGCGAGAAAATGCTATTGGGAAGAAAAATTCTGATGTTAGTAATGTGAATCTTAATGATGATCATCCTAGGGTACAAATTATTAAACGAAGAAACTCGATTGATAACAGTGTATTAATGGCTTATAAGAAGTTAAAAGAAGAAGCAAAGAATGAAGTGTGCAATCACAATCAAAAGATCGATTTGGGTGGAGAGAAAATTATGTTTGTGAACCGTTGTGCTCACTTTCAGCCTCCACATGCCAACAATACTGAGGATCATAAACGATGGGAGACAGGATCTCAGCATTCTGAAAGTTCATTCCCAACTGCTTCCATGGTTGGTGCCTTTCCAATGGTTCATGATCTTCCTCCACTTCAGCAACCAGAAGTTCCTCAGAATAATCACATGTTGCATGTTCATAGAAGCGAACCAGAAGTTCCTCATCATCATGCTCAGACATTGCATGCTCATAGAAACGAATCAGAAGTTCCTCATCATCATGCCCAGACATTGCATGGTCATAGAAATGAACCAGAAGTTCCTCATCATGCTCACATGTTGCATGTTCATAGAAATGAAGCAGAAGCTCCTCACCATGCTCAAATGTCGAATGTTAACGCATATGCTGCTTCCAATCATTCTCTTGAATCAGATGATCATGATGATGATGATGAAGAAGAAGCACATACATGGACAGAAGATGACCAAAAGAATCTGAGAAATTTGGGAAAATCAGAAATAGAGAGAAACCAGCATATGGAGAATCTTGTCGCTAGGCAAAAAGCACTAAGAAACATGAGGATTCAAGCTGAGGAGAATTTGGTAAACATAAATCTTGATATTTCTTATAGTTCCACTCCCATTGCATCAACAAGAAGGAACTCCAATGCATCTACAAGAAGGAATTCAATGGATGTTCCTTACGATTTCAATGAAACTGTTGTTGAGTCCACTCCCTCGGATATGATGCCAAGAACAAACCCTTATGATCCTCCATACGACTCAAGTGGACCCACTTTTCAATCAGATGCTTTATCCTTCCAACCAAACCATGAGGGAGGGGGATCCAGGCAAAACGAGGGTTATTATACTTTTGGGGCAAGTGAGAATGTTAGTCAAAGAAGCCGATCTTCTGATGATGACGACATGGTGAAGGTCCATCATGTTACAAGAGATGGCAGAGTTTATGAGTTTAAAGCAAGTATTAATGGGGATGAGACACGAAAAGAAAAAAGTAAATTTGAATCAGATTCTTTATCCTTCCAACCAAACAACCAATCCAGCCATCGCCATGAGAGTTGTGATGTGGGTTCTTCAACTTTAGGGGGGTACGTACACAATGATGAGGTTAAAACAAGCGATGTGGGTGAGAAAGGTAATGAAAAAGTAGAGTTATATATAGTTTTTCTGAAATTGATAATGTACGTATGTAACATCTTTTATTTTGAATCCAGGTTATCAAGGGAAAAGTAGCAGTGAATCAAGTTCGTCATCATCATCATTTTCTGATGTAAGTGATCACTTAGATGACGAGGAAGAAGAATACGATTATAGATCCGCAGTCATGCCATCAACACCAGAGAGACAGGTAAAACTCAAAGCTAATTCAAGATTTACCCACCCTTTTTGTGTGTTCAATTCTTATGAATTATTTCTGATCATATCAAGATGTGAAGAAATTAGGCCTCACTGTTTGTTTGCCTATTTTAATTGAATAATATCGGGTGTCCTCTTTATCCTCCATAGAGCCCTGCCCTCTTCAATTTCTCACTTTTAATCTTCATATAGAGCCCATCATTGTAAGTCTGCTATCGCTCTTTAATGTCCTCTACATTCATCATCTTTTAATTTCCTCATCTTTCACAACAACTCTACCACTAACATCCTTAATATACCTTACGAATTCCCATGTTTTAATACATCTCTCATTTAATTAGTCATTTTTGAAGCATACATCATATTTCAAATAATTAGAATGTTTCAAAAGAAATATCTTACGATACATTGTTCGGAAAAATAATATGTCATAGTTATAAAAAAGAATAAAGATATTATATAATCGTTTATAAATTATATTTTATAGATGAATATCATTAAATATTTCATAGAAATAATTAATTAGTAAATAAATAAAAAATATTTGAAAACATAATATAATTAAGGGGGTAAATGCAATAAGATCAAATGATGAAATATTAAATGTACAAAACATAAAAGTATATTGACCACTCACTGGTCAATAAAAAAACAAATAACTTACATGCTCCAATGACACTGAGCACAATGATCATATCATGACATCTTCTAACTTATACTACATTATCTTTGAGCTTCGATAACCATAAGACCCACACACACACCATTTCTTTTATTCCTTGGACCTCCATACCATGATTTATACCTATTAGACTCGCCAACTTTCGACTTTTTTACCTAGTCTACAAAATACAAGCAATGTCTACTTTCTTTTATCCAAACCATTGTTGGTTCCAACTAATTCACACTCAAAGATCTTACACTTAGGGTACATTTTGGTAATCTGGTATTCTACAAACCTCTAACTCACTCGTCCTCCAACTAACAATGTGATAGAGAATGTGCTATGGGCCTTATATAAATATATGGGTAAACATGGGGGACTTAATTGTAATATCTATTATTATCTATTTTGCACCCTATCTAGAATTATCGCAAGAATAGCATAAGCATAAATAGAGTAGTGATAGGAGTAGTGAGGCATTCAGTATTTTGTAAGCTTTGAGTATCGGCATTAGCTTGGGCAGAGGTTTCTCTTGAGATAACTTTTCTGATTAAGGCAGGAGGACAATCATTTGGATTTCCTTTCTGATTTGTTCTTATTTCCATTTAGTAATCAAATAGCTTCGTAGATCTATATATCTCATATTCTAGTTTGACTATCTGTTATTGCATTCGGGTTTCTATCACAATGCCTCAAGCTACCATGTATACAAAGGTGCATGATATTTACCCTACCAAAACTCACCCACCTAATAATTATGAATACTAGACTAGATATTAACTAGTAAATATTAAATGATAAGTATAGAGCAATGACTACAGGTTAGTAAAGATAATTAGTAAAAAAATGCAAAAATAGTATATGATAAAATCCAGGTAAGAAAAATAGGGACTAAGACTAACACATAGAAATTATTTCTTGAATAGTAAAAGCAATATTAATAAATATAAAATAGTAGACAACAACTACTAACTAGTTGAAAAGAGATAAATATGTAGGGATCTAACCAGCAAAAATTGCAATTATTGTGAAATATTTGTTCATTGACATCAATATCTTTCTAATGCATCATGTCTTGTCATTAGAGAACAAATAACTGAAGTACTAGACGATTCGCAGATCCAGGAGCAACAGAAGAAGAATATCCAACAAAGCCCTAAATTGGAGCATGGGGACGGGAAGTTGTCCCAAAGGCCGCCTAAGGGTCTAACCTCATGGTTTGGATGGAAGCCATGAGAGTCACCCATGGCAAAGCTTTTTTAGGGTAAGTTTTTATAATACTGATTTTGTATTTTTTATTCTTGTGAATTAACCAAATCGCTAAAATTAAATTTTGTAACATTTATTATTCAAATTTGTGCATGGCAAGCTACATATAGGATTTTATTTGTTGTAAACAAACCATTGTCTTCGTTTACATTTGGTAAAATGAGACATTTTAGACCAAGCTCTCATATTTGCTCAATTTTATTTATTTATTTATTTAAATGAATATGTTATTTGTTAAAAATAAGTCAATTTTGCAAACATTCCTTAAGAATGTTTGCAACATGTATAATAGAAGATGTAACATTCATGATTCATGGTACCAAGCAACACACAAATGCATTGAGACACAATAACGTTAATATCGTGTGTCCACACTTGGTCTGTGGGGTCACAATCACATCAACATATCCAATCAATTTACTAATAACTTTGACAATACAATATACGTTTACCTTTATTTTAAATGATAATAAATTAAGTCCAAGTCTTTTAGTGATTGTTTTAAATTTAGTTATCTAAAATAAACTTGTGTCCAAAATATGTTCTTCTTTACAATTTGTGTTTTAGTATTTCTTATTAATGTATGTAAATTAAAAAGTTGCTTATATATCTAATACAATTGTAAGTTAATCATCGATGATGCTTATTTAATTGACAAGTTATTATTTATTTAGTATGCTTTTAAATATATTTTGGCAATTAATTTAATAAATATTTTAAAATATCCAGAACAAACTGCAAAAATAGTCCCTATTTGTGTATTGACTAGTGTTTTCTTTAGTTTAGGTTTAAAAAATAAATATTTTTGAAAAAAAAAATTCAGGTTTCGACAATCTCTTCATAATGCATAATGACCACGCAACTCCCATTAAGATGCTTGCATACAAATGGATAACAAAATACGGATTTGTTTCTTATTTCCATTTAAATCACCATTATGTGAGAAAAAGTCCATCAATTATTACTATCATTAAGAGTTCATCCATAGTACATAATATAACAATTATATAATTCTTTCGGTCTCATATTTTATAAAGGTTTTATAAATGGTGCTGTTTTGCATATCCTTTTAATTTGACATAAATCAAATTTTTAATTTTGTTTCTTATGTTGTTTTCCTTTAATATTATTATTATTATTATTATTATTATTATTATTATGTTAATTAATTATGTCATTTTGTTTTTAATTATTTGTGATTTTGAAAACATCTTTTATATATAGTTTTTCAGACTATCTTTGTGTTATTTTACCGTCCCATCTATCCATGTGTTATTTTTTCGTGACTATCATTGTGTTAGTTTTTTCGTTCAGATTAACCATATATTATTTTTTCGTTCGGACTAATCATGTGTTATTTTTTTATTTTTGTTTAAAAAAATTATGAACAATTATATGTATGTTTGTGTGTGAATTTTATTTAAGGGTTATTAAAATCAAAACAAAATAATAACACTAGATAGTCTGAACGAAATAAAAATAACATATGGATAGTCTGAATGAAAAAAATAACACAAGGATAGTCCAAACGAAAAAATAACACATATATAGTCGGAAAAAAAACATAAAGATAGTCGAAATGAAAAAATAACACATTGATAGTCTGAACGAAAAAATAACATGATTATAATATGACCGAAAAAACAATGCAAGGGTGGTCGGAACAACAAAATAACACAATGATAGTCGAAACGAGAAAAATAACACAGAGGTAGTCAAGCTATTGAAATCATAGTATAAATAGAACATGCGGGAATCTTTAACATGATACCGATGTGCGTGTACAGTCAAGTCTTTCCATTCCTACAATATGAAGAGTATCTGCAAAACAGTTAATCAACAATTATAAGTCAAAGCTTAGTGAGTTTCTCAAGATACCATATATCACAATACATATACGATGCATACAAACAGTGGGTCATGACCTTTTGTCGTCCTACCAATAACATGTGTATCTGGACTCACGGCATATCGTTGTTCCGTCGTCAACACGAGTCTCTAGACTCATATCCTATCATCGTTCCGCCGTCAACTCCTCATATATACATATAACAAAACAATATAAAACTAACAACCAATTATATATAAGATTATTCAAGTCCACGTATGCAAATAATGGCCTTCAGCCTAAGGATGGTCTGCCCATTTGGCCTTCAACATAAAGTTGGTATGCCCCTTTGGCCTTCAGTGTAAAGTTGGTCTGCCTCGAGTATCTTGGCCTTCAGTACAAAGTTGCTCCACCCTCAACTCACAAAATGATATAATAAAGAAACGAAGAGTCTAATGATAGAATACAATCTACTAAGTTATTCTATTTGCTTAACATAATACTACAACATATTTAAATCCTAACATGCATAGGATATATATTGTAATATACAATATAGTGAGATAACTCAGCTAGACAATTTCTCAGACGACTAACAACTTTCCAACTGGCGAACAGGATCGCCAACTGTTGAGCTTGTCAGACCCAACAAATAAAGGGGTACACAATGACTCCACGAACACTGTTACTTTGCACTAAAAATGTAATACATGGTAAGCAGGGTCGATCCACGGAGACACGAGACAAATGATTATACCTTTTTGCGTAAGGTACAAATGTGATCACAAAAGAGCGGGATTTATATGCATTGATTCAAACAAAAAGACTGAAGTAATAAGTAAGCAATTGATTAAATAAAATAAATTCAAGATTTGTAAGTACTCCAACTCCATGCAAGACAAATTAGCAATGTGATTCCAAGGATGAAATGATATTTGTTCAATTCTATCTAAGTTGGTACGTGGAAATGCTAACAAGCTCTAGTATTTCTCATTCACCACATTGATTAATCAAAATAAGCTCTTTGATTAACTCTAACCTTACACATCTAATCTAAACAAGCTCTTATAGTTAGGTTGAAAGATTGCATTAAACTTTATGTGAATGTTCCCAACAACACTCAATACTCATCACAAGCTCGGGAATGTAAGAGTGTGTGAATAAGATTTACACTAAATTCATTCAATGGAAATCAGTTTAGTGCTTGTTACTTAATCCAATTCACAAAACAATTACGAATTTTGCAATTAGATAACTTGAATGACCTAATTCCAATTCGAATGGCCAATAAGAATCATAATTAAATCAAACATTCAATTGAAACGAAATCAAATTCACTAGATTGAATTTAGAAACAAACACCAAGTCATATGATTGAAATCACACCCAAATGTCAAGACATAAAGTTGGAGAATCTAGGGTTCTAGCCACACATGACTAGAATTGAAACACAAATCTAGAAAATGAAGTTAAAGTCTTACAAAATGAAATCCAAACGAAATCTAAATGTTTTCAAGTGTTAATTGACTCCAAAATCTTCCAGAAAATCACCCCCAAAGCTCCCAAAACCGACAGAAAGAAAATGAAACCGGTTGCACCCTTTTAAGAAAAATGAAAAACTACTTTTTAACCCACGACCACGTTTACACGGCCCATGTAAATTAACACTGTCGTTTACACGGCCCATGTAATTAATAAAGTACATTGCTTCAATTGGTTGGGCCTTCAAAGTGCGATCCTTAAGTATCTTCGTTTACACGGCCCGTGTAAACTCAAGGCTATAGTTTACACGGCCGTGTAAATCACTGCATTGCTAAAATCTTCAATTCTTCAATATCTTCACCCCTGGTGCTCCGCAAGTCCTGAAATTTTGTCTACATCTCTTATTTACCTCCTCTAGCAAGATCTTACCTCAAAAAGTCCCTGAAATATTACAAAAGTGTGTGAATGAAATGGCCTTATGATAAATCCCGAAAAACATGCAAAATGCATGAGTTTAAACCTGTATGCAATGCATTTTTATGAAATAAAGCTACAAAATGAGTGCATGAAATGCACCTAACACCAACCAGTATAACCTTATAATATTATAACTAATATTTTTTATATATATATATATATATATATATATATATATATATATATAACTTAGATAACAAAATCTAGATACTTCACTAATTCCAATAACACTGAATGACTATCAAATAAGGATTAACCAGTCAATACAGTCGGAAGGCAAGATCGTTTCAGCATATAACTTTTCTGAAATCCAACAACCTTCACCAACATGTCTATCCTAGACATCGCACCCATAAGTAGATCAATCAATATAATAACTAGGATTAATGATTAATCTAATACACATGTTCATAATAACGACAACGGATATTCTTCATGTCAGTTATACTAAAGTGAAAAGTGTAACTTACCTGATTGGCATACTCCAAATATCTGCGAGCAGAACTTCGTCGCTTACTTTTTATGTAACGACCCAATTTTCACGTCCAAAAATTTCATTTAAAATAAGTGATTTTGAAAACATTTGTAGTAAAAATCATCCGATCATACCATTTCATAAATTATATCTCGTATCTGAAAAACCAAATCATAAAAATAATAATAATGTCAGAGTACAATCCCAGAACATCTCATAATGCGGAAAAACCAATGCGTGTGTGTATGATGTGCCGCTACCGCGCCAGCTCCTTCCCTTCGTGAAGAGTGGTACCTGTGAAACCAAATTGTAAACTGTAAGCACGAAGCTTAGTGAGTTCCCCCATCGTACCACATACCATACAATCACATAACATACAGATACTGTCAGGCATATCTGGGTGCTGACCTCCCCTTCGGTCCTTTCGACCGGATACTGCCTAGCATATCTGGGTGCTGGCCTCCCCTTCGGTCCTTTCGATCGGATACTGCCTAGCATATCTGGGTGCTGGCCTCCCCTTCGGTCCTTTCGACCGGATACTACCTAGCATATCTGGGTGCTGGCCTCCCCTTCGGTCCTTTCGACCGGATACTGGGGACTATTTCACCCCCTTACTACTACCACATAACATATATCACATAATCATAATCTGTATAACATGACTGGGTATGACTACCCCTTTCGGCCCTATCGACCGGAAATCCC